ATATCGACCTCTGCCACCCCCCCCCGCCATATTAAGGAGAGGGCCACGCTGAAATGTATGGAAGACCAATATTTCAGCGGTCACATACGTTTCTTTTTCCTTTTCAGCAACATCGTGCTAACTCTTCGCGAAGAAAGGTTAATCGACAAGGCTTGGCTTACTTCTGAGAGGAGGTAGCTCATCGTGCCAGTGGAATATTGCCAATAAACTACGGATGCACGCACGAGAAATAAGGTAATAATCTTTTAAAGTATTTGCCCTCACTGATTCTGAAATGAAAAAACGCTTTCCACGTCACACCTCTATGCCATCAATGAGGAAGGCATTCTAACAGCTTCATGAAATATATCATAAATGAAAACTAAAGATATATGATTAAATATGTTAAACAAATATTCACACAAATTCGAAACTGAAGAGAAAGGTGAACAGAAAGCCACGTGCCTAACTGCTACCAGTCTGAAATCATTAATCGCATAAGCAAAAGAACCAAAATCATACGCATGCAAATATCTTGAAATTAATATGAATAAAAGTAAACGTCAGTACCATTGGCTGGGTATACGGTCCTGTTCGACGAATCGTAGATCGTCATCGGGATAATACTCATGCCACGAGCGTCGCTTTCATGCAGCACCTGCTGAATGAGCGACGGGGATGGCACCGGCGTGGGAAAAAACTGGTCACGGAAGTCTGATGTAGTCGGCATCAGACCCGGATAGCTACTGATCGGCACATCCATTGAGCGACCGCTAAACTGGTCATCCCGGACGCTTTCTTCGCTGTTCTGAAACAAATGCAAAACAGTATTATAGCATCATATCGCCGTCTGCAAGTCAAAACTACAGCGTCCGTCAAATACTACAATAACAATACAGAATTGAGCGTGACCGAAAGCCCTCTAAGCAATTAGGTGGAAGTGACGGTTCAATGTGAGGTGAAATCTATTACTGAATGAATCATTCGTCAATTAACACATACCGGCGTACGCACAATTAATATTTCACGCTAGTGATGAAGGAGTATCGAAAAGAGCGTAAAGATTAGTGCTGACTTATTAATATTTATTATTCATGCCGCCAGCATCGAAACCTGGCAGTCAGCTAGCAAATCCATAATATCGAGGTTTATTTCTATAATATATCCCTACGGTTCAGTGGTGTTGCAACGTGTTCTTTTTCAATGCGACAAAGTGATGCTGTTCTGCGTTTAGACCATGCACTGCAGATGATAAAACACCACGGAACAGCGGTGCACTTAAATCGTTCCCTAGTCTACTAGAAGCACAAAGGCCATGCGAATCCGCTAAAGTGAATAGAAAAAGTGCAGAAATATGTTCACTAAACCGTCCCCTTAGCCATGGAGGATGGGTGCTCATTGAGCCAACTAAACTTAAAATTTCAAAAAATTACGTTTAACGAATGACATGGGAAAATGAAGAGAAAATTATACATGCAACGTTCTTTGGATGGCGAAATATGATTTCTAACAGTCCGGGACTTCTACGATATTTAAGTCGTCGAGTCACAGTCGAGAGATGTTGGACTGATGCTGTTTGAGCCCAGTCACGTCACTCACCTTAATCCGTCCACTCATTCATTTCACGAGATAGAACACTACATGGCCTCGAAAAAAAAAACAAAGCAAGCCTGAAGACTGACAGAATCACAAAACAGGGCCGGATCATAAGCGTCACTAAAGAAGGGTTCTACAACTGACAGACAGTTATGAAAGTGTAGTGGATAATGACATCCCAACAAAAACTACAGATGTTTCTTATTCAGATAATATAAATCTGGGTTACTCTGCTGTTTAGACTTCGTTAGTCGTGAACTAGTCTAGTGTTCGTATAGTTGGTCAGAGTTGTGGAACGAAGTTGCTCAACGATCAAACCAGACGACAACAGTTACGTTGTCTACATATATCAAACATTTCAGTGATTTGAGAAACAAGACTATAACAACAAGTTAACGAAAATTCGTACAGCATATCCGAAGGCCTTAAGAAAGTCCATCTTGCACATTGGACATGTTCGGTGCTGCAGCAGCCAAGGGTCAACGCATGTCTTATGAAAGACGTGCCTTGAAAAAAAGATCACGCACTGTCGATGAACCAGGCACCAGAAAGAAGACTTACTTGCAGATGAGAACCCTCACAGCGTCGCCTGGGTGGTACGGCTCGATGCACACGGGACAATCGTTGTTCAGTTCCTTGTCGCCCAGGCGAAGAGTTTTGGCAGGGGTCTTGGCGAGGGCTTTCTTGGCGGCGTTGAAAAGGCGCCTCTACAAAGCGTACGTTAAAAAATCATATTAGTAAATGGCTGGTGAACGATCGCTTACCGCCAAACGGTCCTTGGCGTGGGCATAGCGGAACCGCTGGACGTAGTAGAAGACTAACCACGCCAAAGAGATGACCATCAAGATGATGAACGACACCGAGACGAATAGAACGGATGTGCGCGAGAAGTTGCTCAGCAACGAATCGCTCAACTTCATGTCATGGTCGCCGCGCTGAGACTGCAGGGAACACGTCACATTGCTGTCCGCCAAGCCGACATCGTTCGCTAACATCAGCAGGTTGCTCTTCACGTCCGACAGATAGGTTTTCGGAAAGAAGATCAGCGGCTTCTGGTTGAAATCTAAGCATATGACCAGTGGTCAGCATTTACTAGCTTGAGCATAAGGGAGAAAAAAGAAACATAGGCAGAAAATACTGTAGAAGAAAAGACTGACTACTCGATTTACCCTGTTATCACAAAATTTACACTCAATGCAAAGACAGGTATTCATAAATCATTGTGTGTAGTAATCTTGACACATTACTCCCCTTCAGGTCAGCGAGACAATTTGCTGTGTCGTACCGAGATACATCGGTCTGCTTCTTCAGTCGCTTTGCACGTTCCTACTGTGACACTGTGGTCATAAATCCAAACCATGGCAATAGTCGTGTCTGAATTTTGGAAAGGGGCAGCTCAAAAGCAACAATTCCCCAAACTGCGCAGATTCCTAATCCCGCTGAAGCTATTCACACAAACGATCCTACGACGCCACCTCATTTCTGCCGTCTGTATCCCACGCCGCACCTTCCCACAGATATCCAGCACTCAGGACCATACGTTACGGTATACACGCGAATAAGCCAAAAGACAAAGAGCTTATCACTGATGTGCAACTAAGCTATTTCTGAGGTTTCGAACACTGCTACTGAATGCTTTCTGAAGATCAAATGAAGAAGCAAGAGGACTGTTTTAAGAGCTCAGCCAAAGGCGACCTGAAAACAGAAAATCGTAACGGCAAATAATACAACCTCCGTTAAACGTTGGGCCGTTTTGCATGTCATATAATTAGCTTCGTTAATCACCTCGTCTACGACAAGCTGATAAAATTACAGAAAACTAAGTTTTGCAAGAAGAATCAATTTGACTCATAACAAACGAACTTCAAACTACTTTGAAGAATTGCCATTCTCATCATACGGGTGCAAAGTCTGCAAATGCAAAAACGACCTGGAGCAATTCTAACAGAGCAACACAACGCCAATAAGAAACATGCTTATAAGATTAATGACGGCAGTCTTGAACGACATTATTACAGTATTCTTCAGAATATGCAGCGATATACAACTCATCAGACTGAAACTTAGCGACGATATGCAAATTGAGTGAAATCAATCGCAGCAAAGTAAATCACCTCAGGTGAGAAGGGAAAGCAAAGTCAAAGTGCGAATGATGCTAAAAAACAAAACACCTAATTTGCATAAAAACAAAAATATTTATATAATACGTCAAGTAATCTACAGCTTTAATGTCCATGTTTCAGCCTAGATGTAATTCACGACGTAAACTAAAACCTGCAAGAGACAATGTAGAGGCTTAGGCTTAGCAACACCAACATATAATCGATTAAAACACGAATCAGTTTCAGTCCATACTGACATGGACGCGGATTATCACTATGGACGGCAGCATATACAGCCTAGAACGGAACTGTTACAACTGAATTATACAATGGTACATACTATACAACTGAAAACTTTCCTTAAAAATTCAATGCTGTACAATACATATTACTGCGTGTTATACTACATCTGTATCATACATATTCTACACCACAGTAGATCATATACAGAATAGAAAATTTGTATAATGCAAGTATACGCGATATATAATATCAATCATGAATTATTTATCATATAATCATACAACAAAATACACAGATTATAACAATTGCACTGTAAACACGCTAGTCATGTAGGCGGCGGATTAAGCGGCATATTGCACGCCCTTTGGTTATCGTCATTTATTGGCCATGTAAGCAGACTAAGGTTCCATGGTTTGCAAACAACTGTTGCACGATTGTTCTAGCGAGTAAAACGACGTGAGACGCGGTTGTAACTCCAAATCTCAAATA